CCGGAGGTGGAATTGCCCTGCCCTTGCCTGGTCCGGGCTAAGTAATCTGCTCAGTTTTGCTCTTGGGAGCTTTTGTTCCCTGCAAGCTTTTGGTACAGCTTTGGCGGACGAGAGTGGAAATGGCGGCCTCCCAATCTCCACCCCAGAGGAGCCGAGAACTCGGGGCCCCGCTCCTCAGTGTGCCCCCAGAAAAAAGCAGTCACTCCCGTCTCCCCGGTCTCTGGCCACACTGCGTGCTCACCCGGCCTGTGACCAAGCGTTTCTATCTCTGGCACACGATCCCGTGTGGAGTCTCCAAACCCAGCAGATCCCTGCGGTGCACTCCGGTGCCGCCCCTCCCTGAGGAGGAAGGGGAGTCTCCCCGGATCTGCCGCTTGTTGGGTCCCTGCTGGAGGAGCAGGGGCCCGACTGTGCCGCGGATCATGGTTTATGGCAACCACGAGCTGAGAGCCCGCGCCTCGGTTCCGTCTCTGCAGCTGGCTTCCCCGCTCCAGTCCCTGGGAGCTTTGCCGCACTCAGGCACCTCCAGTCTTTCTGTGACCCAGAGGGTCCTGAGAGACAACACTGTCCCACGATGGTTCCACCCCCAGCTTAGCCACTGAAGCGACGTCCCTCAGCGGAGCTTACTTCTAAAAGTTCCGATTTTGTGCTCCGCGGCTCTATCACTTGCCAGAAGCGACCGATGGAGGCCCCTCCCCCACCATCTATCCTCCCAAACATCGCCTCGGATTCACTTCTCCGCACGTCCTACCTTCCAGAAAGTGGTCGCTTTTCTGTTCAGAGAGTTGTTGCTATTCTTTTCTTCGATCTCCTGTTGAGTTCGTAGGTGTTCAGAATGGTTTGATCCCTATCCAGCTGAATTTCTGGGACCAGAGGAAATCCAGGTCTCCTACTCCTCCACCATCTTGCTCCACCCCCCTCTTCTTCTTCTTCTTTTTTTAATCCAAGATTTGTCAATGGGTGAACCAAAGCGTCTGCGGCCTTTTCGGTCTGGTCATTCTCCTCGCCTCCCGGCAGAGACTAGAGTTACATTTTTATTTATTTATTTATTTTTTGAGAGAGAAAGAGAGAGCGCACGCATGCGCACTTATGTGAGGGTATGGGGGAGAGGCCAGAGGGAGAGGAGAGAGGGAGAGAGAGAATCCCAAGCAGGCTCCATGCCCAGTGGGGAGCCCAATGCAGGGCTTGACCTCATGACCCTGAGATCATGACCTGAGCTGAAACCAAGAATCAGAAGCTTAACCGACTGAGCCACCCAGGTGCCCCAGATTTTCACTTTTAAATGATCAGGCAGATGTTTGGGGTAATAAAGCATGGCAGACTGTTATTCCAATATTACAATATTCCATGGAGAGAGAATGAAAGTTTTGTGATATAGTTGGACTTATGTATATCAGGCCTGTGTGCAGTATATCACCTGTGGTATGACATAAAACCACTGATAAGATTTTATCTATGAAAAACCAACATTCTCTATGGCTGTAAGAACTAAATTGTCCATGTGCTGCTATCTGAGAGTTTCTATCAGTTTGGCCTACAAAACACATTTGATATTAACAAATTCAGTACGTTCATAATGTAGAATTACTGAAGCATTCCTTGTTGCAACATGAATTTTTAGGACAGATATAAATACAAAATAGCTATTTTAGGGGGAGAAATAAGCAACACAGTCAAGTAACCAAAGGCAGGAAAGAGATCTTTAAAAAGGAGCTAAACTGCATGTTATTTGGTCATTATCAACTACATCAGGTCAATCCAGAATACAGAATTTGCAAGAAAGTCTGTTTGTTTCTTAAATACTTTTTAAGAGAACTGATTCAGATGGTCTAAGCAGCAGAGTTATGAGCACAGCCAACACAGAGAAAGCCTGTCTTATATAGCACAGTAAAGCCATATTCATATACAAGGAAGTATCAGTACTGAAATGTTCAAATTAAAAAGTTGTTTCCTTATAAAAGAATGGAGGAAGAAAAAGAAGGAAGAGAAAATAAAAGTTACTTTTACAAGGCAGAATGTGATCAGCTATTAGTTTGAGAGCTCTCATAAGATGGTTTTTTAGAGAAGCTAACATAGAAACTAGAAACATTCAAAAGAATGAATGAAATGTTTCATTGTGCTTGCTTAATAAACAAATTCCTAATTATTTTTACAGTATAATTTTCCCCCCAAATTTGGACAGGTCCAATGTATACATGTCTAAGAGATCAGACCCGCCTATAGGTAAGAAATGGCTATACAGTGCTACCTCAGTATCTGTAAAAGTTATCAGGTTTCACAAGATTCTAGAGAAAAAGATGTTTTCTAAATTTTAACAACATACACATTCTAGGCAACCTATGAAATAGGAGAAGATATTTGCAAATGACATACCTGATAAAGGGTTAGTATCCAAAATATATAAAGAATTTATAAAACTCAACACCCAAAAAACAAATAATCCAATTTAAAAATGGGCAGAAAACAGACATTTTTCCAAATAAGACATATAGATGGCCAACAGACACATGAAAAGATGCTCATCATCATTTATTATCAGGGAAATGTAAATCAAAACCACAATGTGATATCATCTCACATCCACCAGAATGCCTAAATTCAAAAACACAAGAAACAACAAGTGTTGGCGAGGATGTGGAGAAAAAGGAATACTCATGCACTGTTGGTGGGAATGTAAATTGTTGCAGCCACTGTGTGAAACAATATGGAGGTTCCTTGGAAAGTTAAAAATAGAACTACTTTATGACCCAGCAATCAAACTACTGGCAATTTACCCAAAAATAAGAACACTAATACAGGGGCACCTGGGTGGCTCAGTTGGTTAAGCAGCTGCCTTCGACTCGGGTCATGATCCTGGAGTACCGGGATCGAGTCCCACATCGGGCTCCCTGCTCGGCAGGGAGTCTGCTTCTCCCTCTGACCCTCCTCCCTCTCATGCTCTCTGTCTCTCATTCTCTCTCTCGCAAATAAATAAAATCTTTTAAATAAAAAAAACAACACTAATACAAAGTGATACCTGCACCCCTTGTTTATAGCAGCATTATTTATGATAGCCAAGATATAGAAGCAGTCCAAGTATCCATCAACTGATGAATGGATGAAGAATATGTGGTATATATACACAATGGAATACTACTCAGTTATACAAAAAGGATGAAATCTTGCCATTTACCAGGACATGAATAGAGCTACAGAGTATGCTAAGTGAAATGTCAGTCAGAAAAAGACAAATACTGTATGATTTCACTCATATGTGGAATTTAAGAAACAAAACAAATAATAGGAAAAAAAATAAGACAGAGAAATCAACAGACTTTTCATTATAGAGAACAAACAGATGGTTACCAGAGGGAGGTAAGTGGGGGGATGGGTTAAAAAGGTGATGGTCATTAAGGAGAGCACTTGTTGTGATGAGCAACAGGTGATATATGAAGTGTTGAATTACTATATTGTACGCCTAAAACTAATATTATACTATATGTTAACTAACTGGAAGTAAAATAAAAACCTAAAAAACCAACATAACATATTCTAAAAAAACATTGACAATAGAAAAAAAATGGTAGATGATCATTTATCTGATTTCTAAACCTTAGAGGCACCCAAGCAACTAAATACTGCTAACAAATAGTTTGTTAATTTTCTAAATAAGAAAATAAGTAATATTAGTAAAAACTGAAGGATGAATTATAGTATTGCAGAATGTATGGGAAAACTATGATCCTCTCTGTTAACAGAAAGCAGTTGATGCTGTAATGTTCTGAGTCAGGAGAGGGTCAGATCAAAACAGGCTGTCATGATAGTCTCAGTATGCAAGAATGATTTTCAGAGATTTATATCTTGGTAAGTCCCAGCTGTTCTATACCTTCAAATAGCAATGTAAGTATATATGATGTGTTCAGATGTTTTCGTAAAATCATGCATTCTTCCATAGTTAATATCTAAACATTGGCAATTATATTAATAGAAAGAGGTGAGGACTCAGACATTACAAGTAAATGGTTTACTATAATATAAGGAAATATATTTAATGGTGAAAAATGAGATGCTGGGAAATTTACAGATTCAGGATGACCTTCTGGTATTACAGAGTTGAGATGTGAAACATATATTTACCTTTAATATTTTGAAGTAGAGTATTCATAATATATAAAATTTAGTTGTAAATTGTCCTATTACAGTCACATGATATCTCAAAGGTACAGATAACGTGGTCAAATCTCTATCTTATTATCTATATCTTTTTAAAATTGTTATTCATGGTCACAATTATTTTGAATATTTTCCATAGACATTTTTTTAATTAAACTTTTTTTCTTTGTTAATTAGGTTTGTATTCCTTTCTAGTCACCAGCAAAGCTTTATGGTATCGGCACTCAAATATTCTTACAAATTTCAGTGTCTTCCTCAAGAATTACTAATTCTCCACTCTTGATATGTATTATAGACGAATATTTCAGATCACATTCAACTCCATGTAAAATGACTCATTAGATATTTTAGTTTTTACGTAATTAAGGCTCTATCATTAAGTCAAAACCCAAAATGAACAAAAGACATCAGAGACTTTTTCCTAAAACCAAAGCTAAATGGATTTCAAGTAGATTTCTTCATTCCTTTAAAATGTATTTGCCATTGCAAATAGGAAACTCAAAATCTCTCCCTTAGAGAAATATTTTCCACAAAAAACAAAGCAGTCAGCAAATGTAAAATTATGTGCTTTATAGTGAAACCTAGGTAAACCTATGTATAAAGAAATACAAGTTAGGATACATTGATTTATTTTTTTTTCAAATGTTAACATTTTAAATTTAACTACCACATGAAAAATTAACAAATTACCTTTTTCTATGTGAGTTATCTTATCTTTCAGTCAAGAACATACTGTTTTTTAAAAGGTCAGAGTTGGAGAGACTCTTTTCAAATAGACATAATATTGCATGCTACCTAAATTAGGAACATATTCTAGCAGAATGGGGTATAAATACTTTAATTCCTACCTGGGTAAAGAAGGGTTCATAAATCTCAACTCCTTTATCAGATCCTTGTAGTAATACCTCCTGACCACGTCTCCAGCTGTACCGAACAGGTGGATTGGAATTGGCCACACACCGGAGGAACACTGTTCTCTCATAGTAAAATTGTTCTTTAGCTTCACCTATACTCTGATGAACAGTTACTACTGGGTCATCCAAATCTAAAAAATAAAAAATAAAAACAACCAAATGACACTGTTATGCATTACATGGCTTTTACAGGTATTACACATATAAAACCTAACCAATGGTGCATTTTCATAATTGATTTTATTGCATATCACTAGATTCATTTTTTAAATTTAGTTTATTGAACTTGTTTAGAGAAAGTTCCAATGATAGGCAGTAAAGACGAATAATAGATGCTTCTTAAGATCTCTGCTAGTTAAGATAGTACAAATGACTGCATATTTCCAACAGAGCTCCATGAGAGAGATCAGAATCCAAGACCCTCCAATTCAAGAGATTAGCCGAAACAATCAATGAAACATAGTGACAGGGAAATAAATACCAAGCAGCTCAACTGACTCCCTTAACATACTTCTTTTCCAAACATTTATAACTGATATAGTTAAAGCAATCAAAGGATTATGTTTATAAATTATTATCTTTATAGTAAGAAAATATGATCTTATACTGTGTTAAGTTTTTCCTTCATCTCAGATTTTATTTCCCAGATTATATTTGCTAATTTGAAATGTGCTAATAGAGGGTAGTGTTAAAAGGCATTAACGTTTCTACTACTGGATATGGGAACTATATTTTTGCCATCTTACATGCATTCTAAAGAAGGGATATATACCATAGTGTTTAGTAAACATTTTCTGGAAAAAAAAAATACATAAATATCTTGGGCTTTGTATGAACATGAGTTCATAGAGTCTTTCTCTCAACTACCTGATCCTACCACTGTAGTGTGAAAGCAGTCAAAGACAGTAAGTAAACGAATGGATGATGGATGTTGCTGAGTCCCAGTAAAACTATTCACAAATGCAGGAGCCTCAGCCAGACTTGCCTCATGGGCCATAGTCTGCCATAGATTGCCAATCCCTGATTTACCATATTCCAGGTTCTTTCATTAAGAGAAAAAGAAATTAAGAAGTGAACTTGCCTTAAAACAACTGTATTGTATATTTGAAAGTTGCTAAGAGAGTAGATCTTAAAAGTTGTCATCACAGGGAAAAAAAACAAACCATCGGTACCCATGCATGGTGATAGATGTTAACTGAACCTACTGTGGTGATCATTTTGCAATATGTACAAATATCGAATGATTGTGTTGTACACCTGAAACTAATATGTCAATTATAGCTCAACAACAACAAAAAAAAATGGGAGAAAATAAAACAAAAACAACAAGCTCTTGGTTCCATGTCCTAATATAAACTTAGTATATAGTTATTAAGTGTGATTTAACATTTGCTGTATTTAAATATTAGTTTCACCCAGCTTTGCCCCTTTTGGCTTTGTAACTGAAAGATTACTTAACCTTTGTGGTCTTTAATTTCCTTATCGATAAAATGGGAATAATAATGGTACCATACTATTAGGGCTGTTGGAGAATTAAATGAGCTAGTCCTTAAAGCCTTAGGCACATAGTAAATGCTCAATAAAAGTTAGCTATTATTATTACTATTATCATTACTGGGGTTTCATTTAGAATTCCATTAATTCTACGTTGTTTTCTTACCTTTATCCTACCAATTCATAATGCACTCAGCTCTCATTTTAAATAGATAAAAGTGTCATTTTGTCATTTGTTCAGGCTGGCAATTTTTTCTACGTGACCAATATTTTCATGTGAACACTGAAGAGAAGCTACAATATTATATAAACATAAGAATAGTGGGATGTGTGAGCATATGCTATGCTAAATATTTAAAAGGCCAAAAGATGTACTAGCCCAGGATGGGAGCAATTTAGAATGGTAATAGTAGAAAGAGATGATGAATATCATCTCACCACAGTTTCTTTTGACAGTTTTCCCAGGAAAGGTGATTAACTATCCTGGAGTAGCTTTTCCCAGATAGAGTGAATTATCTTACCTAGAAAGCGGATTTAAGCAGATGCTATAGAAAAGATTCTTTGTGATGCATTAAAATAATAAAATAATAGTGAAATAATAAATAAAATAAAATAAATAAAATAGTAAAAAGTGAAGTAATAGCTCCCCTAAGGAATCAAAGAACAGAATCCTAAATGTCCCCAGGTTTAAAAAAGGTTTTTTTCCAAATGTGACAGCCCGACTTAAATTTCTAGTTTTGCAACATTGAGTTTTTTCTCCCAACATTAGAATCTTTTCACAGCTACCTCAAAGGCTTCTAATTATGGTAGTATAAATTTACAGAACAACTGCTGCTTTGTTGGTAAAGTTTAAGGAAATTTCAGTTTCAATTCATTCTATTAGCTGTGCGAGGATATGTGCTATCTGGTTTTAATCATCAGTGTATTTAAGGATACCAGCATCATTATCATGAAACATTTAAAGGTCTTTAAAATCTATCAAATATTCGCTTACTTGATTAGCCCTTCACATACAAATCAAATCCTAAAGAAGATTGATCAGCTGAATTCAACCTTAGAGACTTGAAAAAAAGGTATTGCGAGTTGATGGTAAACTTTTTTTTTTCTTATTCAAAACATAATTTCTTTTAGTCATAGTCTCATTTTTAGAAGATATGAGCTGTGTTCTGTTGTAAAAAACAAAATTCTGAAGCCAGAAAGTTTAGAAACAAAACAGAATTGGATGGTGATCAGTGTAACAATGATGACTCTACTTGGATTCCAAATAGTTAATATTACTGTACTTTAAAACATCCATTTACTGATGTATACCTAGCTCTTCCCTTGTTGGGTGGTGGTGTCAACAGATTCAGTCAGGAATAGACCAAACCTGAACAAACATTTAAACATGCTCTTCTCTGATCTATGTAAGTTTTGGGTCACTGGCCTTCTGAGAATCCAATCCTGTGACAATGGCTTACTGAACATTGTATTGGCAGAATTATCTGTTGGATTCACCCATGTTTAGGAATTTCTACTTCACAAAGCTCCTAAATGATACCTTTTTTGGATTTAAAAACAAACATGACAAAGACAAGATATCTTCTCGAAAAGTCAAATAATGGCATGCATAAAAAATATATTTTATGTGTGTGTGGATGTGTACACACACACATATACACTTATATAGTTTAATATACATACATATACATCACTTAAAACAGTATATATGTTTAATATAAACTCTATATAGTATTACTGAATATGTGTATTTACCATAGGTCAGTTTTCTTGGAAAAGAGACTCTAAGACAGAGTTATGTGTGCAGAAAGTGTATTGGGAAGTACCTTCTAGATCAACACTCCAAGTGAAAGACTGAGGATTGTTGAGGAGGATAGTTGAGCTACAGCGCAGTTGCAACAAAGGTCCCGGTAGCTTTAGAGAAGTCATGGAGCTGTAATATTTCCACAGAACTGTCCTGCCCTAAGGCAAGGGAACTAAGCCTTAGACACCACCCCCTCCCCCATCAACTGGTCCTTGCCTGTGTGCTATTCCTCCCTAGGGGGCATGACCTTGGGAGGGATAGCTCTGTTGGTTTAGGGTAATTTCTAAAGAAGGATTTAGCTGATAAGCCATTAGCTGCTCAGTAGCTAAAGGAATGAGTCCTGCAGTACCAAAGAAGGGATCTGGCTGGTGCTCTATAGCATCTGCTTAAATCCGCTTTCTAGGTAAGATAATTCACTCTATCTGGGAAAAGCTACTCCAGGATAGTTAATCACCTTTCCTGGGAAAACTGTCAAAAGAAACTGTGGTGAGATGATATTCATCATCTCTTTCTACTATTACCATTCTAAATTGCTCCCATCCTGGGCTAGTACATCTTTTGGCATAAGTAGGTCACCTAGTGAAGTTACCAGACCTTTGTCACTGAGGATTTTGAGCCCCAGGTCACCAGGTTCTTCTTAAGCCATGACTGATGCACTTATCTTTTTACCACCAAAATTGGTCAGGAGACCACCAAGAAATGATACAGTGGATCATCATCACCATATTATATACTGTCTCACTCTGTAACAGTAGTACCTCCAGCCGATCATATGGGCCAGTTAACTCCCTCCAGGCTGGTGATTCCTCTTATCTCCTATTTCCTAACACAGGAAGCCTCACATAAATGAGTAGCAGCCATGGCTTAAAGATTAATGGGGCTCTTACTGTATCACTTAATAGAAGCTTTTTCCTCTTCTGAGAACTAGGACTTCTAAACTGGCAGAGCCCAGAGTTGCAGGAAGGGAACACAGATTCCCCAAGTGGGTCACTGAATGTGATGGTGGTAAGTAGGGTCACTCCTTGGTTTTGAACCTATGTATTCTACAGGAAAAAAAAAAAAAAGCATTATATAATAATGGTCATTGATTTAGAATGCACACTGTATCTTGGAGCATAGCACTCCTTCCTTACCAGCCATTATCCCACTGAAACTTAGTTGCCCCTTCCAAAGGCCATTCAATCACTCTAGTAAGTTGGCATTTTTAGGTGATAAAGAATATATGACCAGAGAATCCCCTGGCAATGTTCCCAATACTCTATCTTCACTGCTGCAAAGCGTGCTTCTCATTCCATGAGTGGTTAAGACGGGATCATGTGTTAAGAATAAACCATTCTCAAAGCCCTTGGATAGTGCTGCTGCTGATTCAGGTCAGCATAAACATCCATACCCAGAATACATGTCATATTCAGTTAAAATCATGCACTATCATTTTCAGGGGAAAAAAGGTCTAACTAATATAACCAACTTGCTACCAAGGGACTGGTTGGAATTTTGAAGGATAGTACTTTTACGGTGTCAAGTGTTGGTCTCTGTTGCTGCCAGGTTAGATATTCAGTGGTGGTGGTAGATACATCAACCTTCATGGGAGAGGACCCATGGTTCATGTTTATGCATAACCTCCATCCCTACCATTATGACAATTCTATTCATGAGCCTGTTGTGCTATTTATGATTAGCTAGTGACGAAGCTGGTTGTTATCAACTGCTAGCGCTACTCTGTCTATTTCATTGTTTTGTGCTTCTGTGGTGGGTATTTTTTGGTCCTCAATAATATGTACTCCCATAGGTCCATCAACACACTCGAACAGATCTCTTTTCACATGAAGTGGT